CCCGCTGAGATCTGGCGCTCCCGGTAGCGGTCTGGCAGTGCCATGTCAGAGAGAATGCCAGAATAGATTGCCAGAAAGAATGCCAGAAAGAATGCCGGATAGAATGGCAGAATAGAATGTCAGGATAGAATGTCAGATAGAATGCCAGAATAGAATGTCAGAATATATATACCACATATACTTCCAGATGAGATGTTGGAGGCTATGTCGAAATATCTTGTCACGTTGGGGATCGCCCGAAGTAAAGTCATTTATATAATTTTACTTCTCTTTTTTGGTTTGTGCATTACAAATTTCAACAGAATCCGAAAATATTGGGTAACAATTTTTCAATTGTTACCCGAAACAAACATCCAACTTGGAACATTTGTTTGCAGGCCCAGTGGTTCCGAGAGTGTTCGCCGCCTGCAGCACCGGGGCTCCCTGCAGCTGTAGGGTTTGCCCATGTGATGTGCGGGTAGGAACCGATGGATTTGACGGAAGTGCGTTTCGAAGAGCTCGATGCGAACAGCACAACGCTGATCATGCGAGGTTTGAATCGACAAACCACGAGAGAAATGTTCCTCGCGATGCTGTGTTTTGGCTGGGAAATCATGACATTTTCTCAGATGACCTAACAGTTTTCATAGGTTTGTTTTCAGTTTGGTGTGTGGAAACATGCAATTTCATGTTTTTGCATGTTTTTGCTGCCAAAGATGCTAAAACTCAGAGGCACCAATCTGCCCTTGCTGAGGGATGCTACGTGCCAAAGGAAAGGAATGTGCCTTGTTTGGATCGTCAATGAGCGTGGCATGTATACAGTGACGTTGCAATGTGCATCCCTGTGAAGCGAATTCGAATCCACATGAAAATGGACTTTCGTGCTGATACTTTCCACCATGGACCATGGGGCTACAAGATCGTGCATGGTCAAATTTGAATTTTCGCAATGATTCTGGTTGAAAGCAACCACACGATCACAGACTCTCGGATTGAGGTACAACTACATTTATGTGCCGTGGACCACGGATGGTGCTTCTAACATCGGTCTGGCGTGGCTCAGATGCATCTTTTGTTGTCTCCAAACTTTGTCATTTTAGAGCTGACGCTCATCGTTGGCTCCGCCGGATTAGTTGACCCTCGATGTCATCCCAGGGTGGGAATGAAAGCTATGGAATGAGGACCTGCTGCTTCAGAAATATATTTTTTGTGCTTTTTGGAACATATTCATGTAATCATGGAACTGCGGTTTTTCTTGGAGCAATTTGGAAGGCTTGTTCCCGAAAGCTCCTGCGAAGGGTTTTTCCTACAGAATTGCCGCCAATTTCAAACTCCCACTCCGTGTAAAAGCGCCTCTGTCTACAGACTTCTCCGTGTAAAAGCTTCTGTCTGTAAAAGCTTCTGCGTGTAAAAGCTTCTCTGCGTAAAGACTTCTCTGTGTAAAAGCTTTTGTGTGTAAAAGCTTCTGCGTCTGAAAGCCTTTCTGTGTAAAGATTTCTCTGTGTAAGAACTTCTGTGTGTAAACGCGCCTGTGTGTAAAAGCTCTCTGTGTAAAGGCTTCTCTGTGTAAAAACTTCTGTGTGTGTGAAAGCTTCCGTGTGTACAAGCTCTCTGTGTATATAAGGACTTCTCTGTGGGAAAGTTTCGGTGTGTAAATGCGCCTGTGTGTTAAAGCTCTCTGTTGAAGACTTCTTTGTGTAACAGCGTCTGTGTGTATACAGCTTCTGTGAGTAAACGCCTTTGTGTGTAAAAGCTTCCCTGTGTAAAGTGTAAAGGCTTCTCTGTGTAAAAGCTTCTGTGTGAAAAAGATCCTGGGTATAAAAGGTTCTCTGTGTAAAGACTTCTCTGTGTAACAACTTCTGTGTGTGAAAGCTTCCGTGTGTAAAATCTTTCTCTATAAAGACTTCTTTGTGTAAAAGTTTCTGTCTGTAAACGCGCCTGTGTGTTAAAGCTCTCTGTGTAAAGACTTCTTCGTGTAACAGCTTCTGTGTGTACAGGCCCTTGTGTGTAAAAGCTCCTCTGTGTAACGGTTTCTCTGTGTAAACGCTTATATGTGCAAACGCTTCTGTGTATAAAAGCTCTCTGTGTAATCACTTCTCTGTGAAAAGACTACTCTGTGTAAAAGCTCCTCTGTGTAAACGCGTTTGTGTGCAAAATCTCCTTAGTGTAAAAGCTTCTCTACGTAAGCTTCTGTGCGTAAAAGCTCCTCTGTGTAAAGACTTCTCTCTGTGTAAAAGCTTCTGCGTGTAAAAGCCAGTCTGTATAAAGACTTGTCTGTGTAAAAGCCTCTGTGTGTAAAAGCTTCTGTGCGTAAAAGCTTCTGTGTGTAAATGCGTCCGTGTAGAAGCTCCTCACCAGCAGCATTCATCATCATATTTTCTTGTGTGCTATCTTCTCGTCTCCTCCCTCCAGCATTCTTTCGGGCCACACCGTCGTCTAGTTTTGATCTGTAACGTCGTTTCTTGTTGTAGAACACCAAGAAAATGTGAATGTAACAGTGTCTGTGTGTATACAGCTTCTGTGTGTGTAAACGCTCTTGTGTGTAAAAGCTCCTCTGTGTGAAGGCTTCTCAGAGGCTTCTCTGTGTAAAAACTTCTGTGTGAAAAAGCTTCTGCGTGTAAAAGCTTCTCTGTGTAAAAACTTCTGCGTGTAAAAGCTTCTCTGTGTAAAGACTTCTCTGTATAAAAACTTCTGTGTGTGAAAGCTTCCGTGTGTAAAAGCTCTCTGTGTAAAGACTTCTGTGGGAAAGTTTCTGTGTGTAAACGCGCCTGTGTGTTAATTAAGGCTCTCTGTGTAAAGACTTCTTTGTGTAACGGCGTCTGTGTGTAACAGCTTCTGTGTGTAAACGCCCTTGTGTGTAAAAGCTCCTCTGTGTAAACGCTTCTATGTGCAAACGCGTCTGTGTGTAAACGCGTCAAAGGCTTCTCTGTGTAAAAGCTCCTCTGTGTAAACGCGTTTGTGTGCAAAATCTACTCCTAAGTGTAAAGATTTCTCTGTGTAAAAAATTGTGAAAGCTTCCATATGTACAAGCTCTCTGTGTAAAGGCTTCTTTGTGTAAGAGTTTCTGTCTGTAAACGCGCCTGTGTGTTAAAGCTCTCTGTGTAAAGACTTCTTTATGTAACAGCGTTCTGTGTGTAACAGCTTCTGTGTGTAATGGCCCTTGTGTGCAAAAGCTCCTGTGTAAAGGCTTCTCTGTGTAAACGCTTCTGTGTGCAAACGCGTCTGTGTGTAAAAGCTCTCTGTGTAATCACTTCTCTGTGTAAAAGTTTCTGTGTGTAAAAGCTCCTCTGCGTAAACGCGTTTGTGTGCCAAATCTCCTAAGTGTACAGACTTCTCTGTGTAAAAGCTTCTGTGTGTTAAAGTTCTCTGTGAAAAGACTTCTCTCTGTGAGTGTAAAAGCTTCTGGGTGTAAAAGCCAGTCTGTATAACGACTTCTCTGTGTAAAAGCCTCTGTGTGTAAAAGCTTCTGTGTCAGTTCCAGCCAGCCAGAGAGGCAGTCCCACAATTAAGGAGAAAAACATATGTTTTCCCTATGTTAAAAAAGTATGTTATTTTTTAAGATTTTGAGGATTGTCTTATAAAGCGAAAGTCTTTGTATACGTGTTTTCAGGGTTCACATATGAAACCAATGTGTTTTCATATGTTGTTTAAGGGCACCTTCAAAGGTCAATGAATTTCAGCACTTCATTTGCAGTCACTGAGAGCTCACCTGATTGCCGCTGCCATAGCCGTAGCCCCATACTTGTTTTTATCCCTTTGACACAAAAAATTGCGTTGACAGTTGGAAGTTTGATAGTGAAGGCAGCAGGTTGCAGCTAGCAGGAATAGTATGTAACATCAGTATCCGCAAACCATATACCCTGCATTTGGGAATGGCACTGGGTACCCAGGTGCAGGTACTGGCCTTTTAGTTGCCCAAAAGGTAGGAGGTAGGAGAATTATATACAGGTAATGATTGTTAAATGTATATATATATATCTTTGATGTCATATGTCCTATGTCATACGTTTTGGATTCTTAACCAGAACCGCTTTGAGTGAACAAATCAAACCACCACTATTTATTTGTTGTAAGATTGCAAGATTCCCACTTGACCAGGAGGTCCAAAGTTTCAAAAAGTGATTCTGAAGGGGTTCTGGGGCCTGGGGGCAACATAGCCCCGACATACATTTTTGGGCACTCACCAAAACACCTTTAAAACGACATACTTTTTTCTGGAGCCTCTTGAAAATCAAAAAACACAATATTACACTGTAAAATGTATGTTTTTGCTATGTTCTGAAGGTCCAAAATCGGAAAAACATACATTTTACAATGTAAAATGTATGTTTCTTCAATTTTGGAATGAAATTTCAAGGTTCCAAACTTGAAATTGAAGCCCCAGAGTCAAAAACATACATTTTACACTGTAAAATGTATGTTTTTTCAATTTTGGAATGAAATTTCAAGGTTCCAAACCTGAAATTTAAGCCCCAGAGTCAAAAACATACATTTTACACTGTAAAATGTACGTTTTTTTCAATTTTGGAATGAAATTTCAAGGTTCCAAGCCTGAAATTGAAGCCCCAGAGTCAAAAACATACATTTTACACTGTAAAATGTGTGTTTTTTCAATTTTGGAATGAAATTTCAAGGTTCCAAGCCTGAAATTGAAGCCCCAGAGTCAAAAACATACATTTTACACTGTAAAATGTATGTTTTTTCAATTTTGGAATGAAATTTCAAGGTTCCAAACTTGAATTTCAAGCCCCAGAGTCAAAAAACATCAATTTTGGAATGAAATTTCAAGGTTCCAAACCTGAAATTGAAGCTCCAGAGTCAAAAACATACATTTTACACTGTAAAATGTATGTTTTTTCAATTTTGGAATGAAATTTCAAGGTTCCAAACCTGAAATTGAAGCCCCTCAGTCAAAAACATACATGTTGCACGGTAAAATGTATGTTTTCCCAATTTTGGAATGAAATTTCCAGGTTCCAAACCTGAAATTGAAGCCCCGGAATCAAAAACATACATTTTACACTGTAAAATGTATGTTTTTTCAATTTTGGAATGAAATTTTAAGGTTCCAAACCTGCAATTGAAGCCCCAGAGTCAAAAACATACATTTTACACTGTAAAATGTATGTTTTTCCAATTTTGGAATGAAATTTCAAGATTCCAAGCCTGAAATTTAAGCCCCAGAGTCAAAAACATACATTTTTTTTTCCTTAATTTTGAAATGAAATTTCAAGATTCCAAGCCTGAAATTGAAGCTCCAGAGTCAAAAACATACATTTTACACTTTAAAATGTATGTTTTTGGAAGGTCAGCTGTTGGAAGACAAGATTTTGATTCATTTTTTGCCAATTTTTGGTGATTTCAGGAATGTGTGTCAAAAAAAGTATGTTGTTTTGGAGGTGTTTTTGGGGGCTGCCAAAAAAGTATGTGATCCAGCGTGTTGTCTTTTGGGAGGCCCAGGCCGGGTAGGGCTGGGTTCTGGTAGGCCAGTGCAGGTCTTGGGAAGCCTTGTGATAGACCTTCGAAAACGCTCCAAAACAGGGAAACAGCACTAGCACCCAGCTGAAAGTTTCACCGGTCCCGGTTTCACCGGTCCCTCCAAACCGCAGACCGCAGTCTCTAACGTCACTTTCTGAACCGGAGAAAAAGAAGTCTCAAGCCCAGCAAGCACGTTCTGGAAAGGCAAAGGAAGTGGCACCAACACGCCAAAGAGGTTCAATGTGACTGGCGCTAGCAGGCCAGTGAAGGTCTTGGGAAGCCTTGTTGTGGACCTTCGAGCACGCTCCGAAACAGGGAAACAGCACTCAGCTGAAGGTTTCACCGGCCCCTCCAAACCACAGACCGCAGTCTCTAACGTCACTTTCTGAACCGGAGAAAAATGATGAAGTTTCGAGCACAGCAAGCACGTCCTGGAAAGGCAAAAGGAGTGGCACCAAGACGCCAAAGAGGTTCAATGTGACCTTAATCAACGGAACTGGCAGGCGCACAAGACTTTCGGAAACGCTCCGAAACAGGGAAACAGCACCCAGCTGAAGGTTTCACCGGTCCCTCCAAACCACAGGCCGCAGTCTCTAAAATGAAGTTTCAAGTTTAGCAGGCACGTTCTGGAAAGGCAAACACGCTAAAGAGGTTCAATGTGACCTTAACCAAAGGAACTGGCGCTAGCAGCCCAGTGAAGCTCTTGCTTTAGGGGTTCGCTCCAGGGCGGAGCGCGTCAGTCTTTTAGCTGCCAGGATGCTGCATACCAAAAAGCTGCAAAGATGCCAGCCAAAAGGCTGCAAAGGGCCGAGGGTAGACCTTCGGAAGCAGCAGTGCTGGAACGGCACTTTTTCTCTGACGCGCTCCCCCAAGTCGGCGGATTTCCCATTGGAACAGTACAAACGGTTGCAAACAAATCTGCAAGGACAAATATGTTCATACTTTGCGCGTGGTATTTTTTCCAACAATTTGAACAAAATCCGGCCCTTGCAGAGAGGTTTGATCATGTTTGTCATGTTTGATCTGACTGCCTAGGTTTGCCAATTTTGAGTCCCCGGCTGCTTGCCAGGCACGGATGTGACATGGAAAAAGGGTGCAGCAAATTTGTCTGGTCACACAATTTCCACAGTGCCGAAGGAGTACGTGTTTGGGTTTTCCAACCCAGAAAACCTGGCGAAGATCGCGAGATACCATGTGAGATCCATTGGTCCAGCAGCCATTCAAGGTAGAGGCCAGGACAACGTGGGCCAATGGCGCGTTATTCCACTTTGGATGATCCAAATGATCCCGAATCAGATCTGTGTTGATATTTTTGATGACATGTCAGGAGCGAACTTGACCGCTATGCTGGGCAAACGTGGCCATGAGGTGATCCACTTACGATTCTGTCGTGGTGCCATGGGATGTACTTTTTCAAGTCAAAGGGTTCCTGAAAAATCCTGAGGCTCTTCGTGGCTTTGATTCCCCTTTGGTCTTCAACCAGGGTGTTAAAGCATCTTTGGCAGAAGTTGCAGACCAAGAAGTTCCAGGCAAGCTGCAGTGAGTCGAGAGCCCGCAGAATTGCCGCAGAATCGCACGCAATTTTTGTGGGTTATGACTACGTTGTGGCAGGTGGATTGGCACAGGCTTTGGCAAAAGCCAAAGCCGTGTCCACCCATGCTTTGGCATCACCACACCGCTCGAGACGGCATGCGTCTAGTGTACAGGCTGTAGGTGCTGACGATGCCAACGAGGCTGGCTTTGGCGGCGCTAGCAGCTCTACTGTCTACAGCGGGGCCATTGTGGAGTAAATCAGCCGCACCTGGTTAGGTAGACACTGCACAACCATGAACAACTATAGTTTTGATTCTCTTAAGCTGCGTTTCTCTAAGGCACGCAGGATATTCGCCATGGCGCGTCCAGGAGCCGCCGCTGCAGGCGGGGTGATTTATTATAGAGTCTACACAGAATGATCCGGGTTGCATGGCAGGTAGCGGGGCAAGTGGCATCATATGGGTCATCATATGGTGCATCGGCATCATACATTTCTGAACCTGCACAGCTGCCAGGACCTTGGCTCGCACCAAAATGTGCCATGAAAACTGTTGTATGTGTCTGAAAATCACTTATCCACTTGTTTCTCTTGAGCATGGAGCTAATCAATATTAGTCACACGCATATATATATATAACCTTTATTTATATTTGTATAGATATAAAAATAAGCTATCTATATGCTAGAAGGACATTTGGGTACTATTTCGGAGGATTAATGTTTTTGATTGATTTCATCCATATATGTATATGCATATGTGTTTATATGTATTCATATGTATTTATGTATATGCATATGTATATATGTATATGCATATGTATATATGATGTATGTATAGTGCGAATGTCAATCCCCCTTTGACAGAAACCTTGATTTTCCACCACTGGCCATTTGACTCCGCGTCCCTCCCTCCCTGGCATGGAAGAGCGGCGTGGTCGGAATGAGATTTAATGACCGGCAAGACCATTCGGCAAACTTGGAAGTTTCACATACCTTCTTTATTGAATGAACCCGATGAAACATTCATTTGCTCTCTTCCAATCGCTTGCGGAAGATTGTTTCACCTGTCCACAAAAATGGCAATGACGCGGCTCCACGAGAACCTGTCCAGAAGTCTTTTTCAACACCCCATCCTTTTATTCGGAGTTTCCCTGCCAGTACCAAGACACTTAATCCCAACAGGACACCCAGTAACCCCAACAGGGACAAACCTTTGATACCTTGGTTTGTCGCAAATTCGGTGGATAGCATCGCCTGGTCCAATCTTCCAAAAATCCTCTGGTGCAGAGTTTGCTTCTATCTGTACATTGACACATGTTTCTGGAACTTTGATCGCTGCTGGAGAAGTTGTTTCATTATGCTTTTGCTTCGGAGGACAACCCTGACTCTTGATCCGCTGAAGTCGCTGCCTATTATCAGCTCTAGTCTTCAGCACCTCTTGTTCGTCAAACAACGAGTATCTTCCAGTCACCAACTGTCTCAGTATAGAGGCATCGATTGTCTTTTTGTCAAACAATCTGCCAACATCCCCTGGCTAGATACCAAACGTACATCAGAGTTGGCGTTCAACCCTTCCCTGATCAGAAGACGCTATTGTTGTCTGATGTTCACTGCAACTCGGAACTGCTGTGCGAGTCAGGATATCATACATGGATCGGCAATCCGTGACAACGTCTGCCTTAGTTTGCCCCTGCAAAACTTTCTCCGGACTGCTCCATTCACAGCTTGGGTCAGACAACCATGCCCACATCATCCGGAGCCACAGCAAACGATCCACCGAGTTGAAGTTGCTAAGAGCTGCTTCAGCACCTAGAGTGCTCCGCACCACTCTGGGAACCTTCTTGTACTTGTCCATGCAATGAGAGCCACAATGGCCTTTTTGTTTCCCAACGGCCCAGGAGTAGTTACAAAGATGATTGTTCCCTGATGTGCCTGGAGACTTTTGTTTGACATGAAGCTTGCGTCGGAGAATGCACAAAACGTGACTCGAGAGGGATCAATTGGCAAAATCATCAACGACACCTTGTTGACCTTTGCCTCATGAAGAACCCTATTGGCTTGCACCAAATCTTCAATTTTGGCTCTTGGCACGCTTGTTTGCAATTCTCCTACCTTGGCACTCAAGTCAGGCCAAGTATGGGCAGCAGCATATTGTAATGCTCCAATGAGACTCCGATACAGGGTTCTTTCCTGTTCACATCTGAATCAATCTGATCATACTCAATGCTGCCATCGTCCCATTGCTTAAAGTAAATCCCAGTGTATTTGAATTCCCCTGTCCCAAAGGATCCAAACTTGAACCTTTGCTCAACTCTTTTCAGCATGGCTCTAAAAGCCTCATTGCCTCCTCCGATGCCATCGTCAACATGAAGGCCAAGAGCTCCGCACGGTCGATACTTGCCGTTCTCATCGACTTCGCCATAGGAGAAAACGCATGGGTCCAGTGGATGCTGCTTGCAAACCTGCTTGATCAGCTCATCTCTGATTTCGCAGTACCACAGATACGGCGCATCGCTGCGACCGTACGCTCCTCCATTGAGAGCGCGCTGATCCTCTGTGCCTCTCGAATTTCTGGTGCTGGATGAAGTCCTAGGTTCCTACCATCCCCTTCTCCATGAAGAAACGCAGTAGAAATATCAAAACTCAGCAGGGGCCATCGATGATTGCTGACCTGTTGCAACACTATCCCATCTTTTATGAGGGTAGGTGCGTCATTTTCCACTGTAGCGACTTGAGGATCCTCAAGTCCAATCACAACAAGTCGAGCTTCGGCCTTTTGCCCATGTAAGGCCAATTCTCCAGGTGGCTCTTCTCCAGAAGCATTTTTCCAAGACAACAACCACCTACACCCCATGATTGCATTGTCAGGATTTTTCTCCTTTGGCCATCTTTCGAATGGTTTTATGTGACTAAGCCATGCTTTCATTTCTTTGTCCTTGACCTAAGTCTTTGAGTTTAATCTCAACCCTTTTCTTTCGCAAATCAGTGGCAAGACAAACCATGTCATTTGGATCCCCTTCGCATTTTGCTTCCCAGCTTGGAGGTGTGATATCCATTTCCCAGTATTGATTTGAAAACGGGGCAGAAAAGTCCAGAGTATCCCCAAACAAAAGGCCATCATCCGGTATGGGAACTTTACGGCCATCAGTTTCAATTTCAACCCGGGATCCTCTCCTGGTGCTGTCACTTCTCTCTCCGGTTCCATTTTAGAGATGGAGTATATCCTGACGACACATCGTCTTCATGATCTATGACAGGTTCATGACTGGGAATTTTATCCGCATATAAATCAAAAGACTCAGCGGATTGGACCTTAGCCATCCAAATTGGACACAGGATGCATGGCAGTTTCCTGGTCTTTGACCGCCTGCCATTCACGGATGGACGACGAAGCTGCTCAGTTTGTTTGCATGTACAAACCAAACAATTCTCCGGAGGGGTTATGCCTTCTCAACATGGCTCTTCGAAGATTGTTGGAATTGTCGGCTTCTATGAAGGCCTTTCTGGCTCGGGTCCGAGTCTCTCAAGAGAGACGAAACTGATCACTTTCCGGAGTCCCACCTGCCGCAAGCAAATGACTCGTCTGTTGCGGGTCTGAAGAGTTGGAAGCTGGAAGCTTACCGGGATTCCCAGGACAGCTTGTTCCGGTGTATACCACTTTACCCTTGAGATCTCATTCTTGGCAATGCAGGCTTGCACCAAACATTCACGGAAGTCCCTTAATTCCAAAAAATCTGCCGTTTTGGCATCAAGAAAAGCAGCCAAAAGAATTCGTACAAAGTTGGCAGGTCCCATTCAAATTCAGAAGCAAATTCCTTCTTTGGGTAGGTACGCGCGGAAATCCAGGGGCCCAATTTGAAGACCATTCAGAAAATTCGCACGAGCATAGCTGGTGCTTTTGACCCATCATCACATCACATGAAATTTCCTGGCAGATCCTTTTCTCGATCCATTTGCAAAATGGGTTCGGCATGTTCTAGTCCATTTCATGACCATGTGTGATCGTCACCCCCTCCAAGCCCAAGTTCTCTTACGGGAGATTTCAAAATTAATGTGCCAGAATCAAGTGCTCGCAGCGGATTTCGCAATGCAATGTATATTCGCTCAAATTCAATGGAAGGTCCATTCCCCGGCTGATTGTAGCTTTGACACCCCCAATGGCGTTATCTTCGTTGCGAAGTTGGATATCGCGCAGTTGAACCAAGTTCTATCGCATACAATTCGCAATATCCTTCTCCGAAAGATCCCAATAGACAGGACCATGGTGTTATCCCAGAAGATCGGCAAATCGATATCCATCTCACCCGACTCTGCTGGATAACTCTTTTGCAGAAGATTCCCTTCACCAATTCGTTCAACCTTATCTCGGCCTTTTGCCGGTCAATGTAGATCACGCCAGGAACATCTTTCGACAGATACTTGCAGGTAGGATCTTCACTGGTGCTATAGGCTAAAGGCCGCCGGTTTGGCTTCGTCAAGTGCATGTCCTTCGTGTGGAAACCAGGAGGGGTCTATATTGGCCCCCTTCATGAAATTTGATTTTCCTGATTTTTTGGCTGAGCTTGGCCAAGATCCTTCTCCCCCTGTTTTAGCCCATGGTATTGTTTTTGTTGACGGGTCGTGTTTTATTCATGACTGGGCAAGAGTCCGGGCGGCCTCTTCGGCTGTGTTCATCCCAAACCAGCTTGAGTGGGTTATGTCCTTGCCGGGGTCATTCCTCACTTCTCAGAGGGCTGAAATTTTTTCTGTGGCCATGGCGATGTACGCAACTACCGGCCCCCTGGTCGTTGCATCCGATTGCAGTAACGTAGTCCGGATGTTTGCTTTTCTTGCAAAGAACTTGTTTCAACCGATTGCTTTAAAAGCTGCGGCCAACAAAGATTTGTGGAGCCTTGTCATTGAGCTTGCCAGACGTAGGGATGCTCCAGGGCATGTCTGCAAGGTCAAGGCCCATGTGAGCAATAAGGACCCCCAAGACCCACACCTCACTTTTGCGAATTCAAAGGTTGACCTTCTTGCCAAGAAGCATGCCTGGCGCGTTTTTGAGCAATGCTCTGAGGGCTGCTGTGCCCGTATCAGCGAGGCATTTGCCTTGCAAGCCCACATGGTTTCAGCCGTCCAGAAGAGAGCCAATTTGTTGAAACTTTGGCGGGCCACGGATTTTGAACTTCATGGTCCTAGCCTTGGCATGGGTCCTTTTTGCCAAAAAATCCATTGTACTTGCACTTCAGCTAAACGTTGCCGAACCAAAACCAAAGTTTGTCAAGGATGCCACCTGTCTGAGACCCGGGGTTGCCTCGAAAGCGTGGCAATCTCTGAGCATCATGCCGGGGGAATCACAAGTTTGACCCTTGATTTGCTTCGGGCTATCCCACTTTTTCATCAAAATCTTTTTTCTGAACGGATTGCCCCGATTAATGTGCGGCTTCCCGGAGATGACCAAATCCACAGGAAAGGAAGACCCGCCCCAGCTGAAGTTGAGGAGATTATTAGATTCACGCAGCAGTGTC